GGCATATCGAAGTATGTATTAGCTAATTAAAAAGAAAGAAGAAAGTTGGATAGCTTTGAGACCTATTTCTGATATTAACTATATCATTTAAAAGTATAGCCCAACTTGAATTAAAAAAAAAAAAAAAAAAAAATCGACATTTTAGGAATGAACTCAATCCAGGCTGCTACCAGTTCAAAATTTCAAGCATAGGAGGCTTGAGAAAAGAGGATAACTTCATTTCTCTTTAAAAATAGACATAATTCTTCTCATATAGTTTGAATAAAACTACTGAGAAAACAAAATAAAAAGAAGAAAAATTTAAAAATTGCCCTAAACTACTGGATTTCAGGCATACTTTTTGTCAACTCTTGTTTAGCCAAAATGGATTAAACACTTCTAGCAATTTTTGGTTTATCAAAACCAGAGCTGCTATGTGTTATGTACGTTGCCAGGAGATGAGGAGGAAAAAAATGCAATGCACAATTTGTCTGGGCAATTCACAGACTGTCTTATCCTTCCCCTAATCTGGTCTTCTCCCCCTTCAACTGACCTTCCCAAAGAAACATATGGCAAAGCACTTTCACACAGCAAAGATGACAAGGGTGTTCTTGGAGAAATCCATGAATCTTTAGGCCTACTGGTATTTCAAAATACAGAAATCACTATAATATTTTATTACATGCTAAATCAGTCCACCAAGTAATACAGAGAGAAATATTTCATCTAAATATTTTATTGGAATTTATCAGAATAAGATAAACAAGTAGTTTCTCATTTCCTTGAGCTTACTGAGGAGCTAATGCCCTGAGAGTAATCCTTCGCTGGTGCCATTTAATTATAAAAGTAAATTCTGCCCTGCCATATGGGTTAGCTTTTTTCTAAGAAAACAAATGAACTCCCAAGAAGGTTTCAGATTGCAATAGAACTCATTTATTTTTATCTGCCAGGTCACATACAATATTAAGAACAATGCCTGGGGCACATTTTAAAGATACAGTTTCCTGGGAGCATGGGTTGCATGATTAATGTGAAGGCACATACTAGCGTTGGAGTGGTACCATTCACTGATTGCTGCTGATGGTGTAAGGAAACTGAAACAAGACAACAAGACTCCAGCTTAATCAACTCAGTATCTATAGGAGAACTGGATGTTTTGCAGAACAAAAAAAAGTTATCAACCAGTTATAACCTTCTCACAAGGAGTGAAAGACAACCTAAGGAAGCTGAGGGCGGGGAAAGGCAGATAGATACAATTGTAAGCCATCTATTTTTGCACAGCAACAGAATGCCCACAGACATCAGAAGACCACCTTTATTTCCCAAACTGGACAAGCAAGACTAATCTCAGCAATATAGGATGAACTTCCTAGTTATTGCCTGCTATGGTGAATACTATAGAATAAGGTCCCTTCCATATTTCTGAAGACCTCTATATCAAAATTATTTCTGTTCTAATTTTGTTTGCCTCAACAAAATGTGACAAAACTCATTGCATCTTGACTAAATTACTCATGGCCAACTTAAACTACCTGGTTTTCTATCAACACTGCTGTTCCATTTATACTGCTATGTCCTTTTTTAGATGCACTTGCTCATGGATTTATGGGCAGGTGCTGTGCACACGCTGTGCACATGCTCAGGCCTTGTTACCCTGCACCACATTTCCAACCCTCTTCTCATCTGCCTTTTAGCAGTCCTTCCTTACATCCGTAACTACTTTCATTAAACCTTGTTCAAGCATAAATAAACAGAATATTGCACACTAGCACAATTTAAAGTCTCCAAAGAACCTTGTGCAAAGAAATCAAAAGTTCTCAATCAATCTGGGAGGCACCTTTTGGGGTATCATAGGATCATATCTGTCTTTCCATGCAGCTGCATGACATTGGCAGCTCCCAACAGGAATGCAGTCTGGATCCCAGTAGAGATCTTTGCTACCATTCTCAATAAGACAAATCATAAATATCTTTAGAGGCTGTAGAACTTCATAAATGAAAAAGAGTCACCTGCCATGAATATCAATAATGGAAAAGGGATTTAAAAATTTCCAATAGAATCAAACTTCCACAATAGTATTTTGTTTGATTTCTAAGGCAGAGAAATTTGGGATCATTAAATCCATTATGGTGGAAAGAGTCAATTATAAACATAAGATGAACCAAAACACAACTTCTGGCTGTGAATGAAAAATCATTCTCTAGTTTAGAATACCACTAAATTACTAAAGCAGAATCCTGAAGGTGCACGGATGGAGTGGGCTGACCCTGGTTGAAGACCAGGTTCTCATCAAAACTGCTCTATCATTCCCTCCACAACTGGGCAGGAAAAGAAAATAAAACCAAAGATGCATGAGTTAAGGACAGGGAGACATCACTCACTGATTACCTTCATGGGCAAATAGAAACAACTTAAAGAAATTGACTACACTTATTACCAATCAAGATCAGAGCAGATCTGATTACAGGCTGGGGATGGTGAGGCTGGACAGTGCCCAGGCAGAAAGGGACCTGCAGGTACTGCTTGACAGCCGGCTGAACATGAGCCAGCAGAGTGCCCTGGTGGCCAAAAAGGCCAATGCCATCCTGGCCTGTATCAGGAATAGTGTGGCCAGCAGGACCATGGAGATCATCCTTCCCCTGTACTGGGCACTGGTGAGGCCACATCTTGGGTGCTGTGTCCAGTTCCAGCCCCTCAGTTTGGGAAGGACATTGAGACACTTGAGCATGTCCAGAGGAGGCAGCACAAGGCTGGGGGGGCTTGGAGCATAAGGCCTGTGAGGAACGACTGAGGGAGCTGAGGTTGTTTAGCCTGGAGGAAAGGAGACTCAAATGTGACCTTATCACTCTCTACAGCTTCCTGAAAGGTGGCTGTTGACACGATGACAGGAGGGGGTTTGTCTCTTTCTCCAGGCAAAAACTGACAAAATGAGAGGACACAGTCTCAAGCTGCACCAAGGGAAATATATGTTGGGTATTAGGAAGAAGTTTTCACAGAAAGGTTGATAAAGTACTGCAATTGTCTGCCTGGGGAGGTCATGTAGTCACCATCCCCGAATGTGTTTAATAAGAGACTGAATGTGGCACTTGCGTGCCATGGTTTAGTTAAGGTGTTAGGGCATGGGTTGGACTCTATGATCTTGAAGGTCTCCTCCAACCTAGTGATTCTGTGAATTCTGTGATTCACAACAAATAGATTCGGTCTACCTGCAGTGGAGACTGCATGCAGAAGGTGTGTAATCAGAAAGATTATCAGGGTGATCAACATTTGCTGTGTTGGGACTACAGCACCCTGACAAGTGGCTGCAAGTCTCTGAATCTAGGATCCCATGATGTACAATGACTCGTGGGGCCCAATGCCTAAAGAACAGAAAGGTGTGTAGTGAAAAGGATGTACTGAAATCAATAATACATGTAAGTAGAGAAAACTGCAGGCAAGCTTAGGTATTCGAAAGGAAGATCTCCATGGCCAAACGCAACACCAGAAAGGTTAAAATTTAGAATGGAAATGCAGAATAAGGAAAGGGAAAATCAATGCCTTCTATGAACAAGTAACAGCCATCTATACTGACCTGTGTGAAACAAAATTGCTGTTATAATTTTAATAACCTTGAATGGTTTTTCTTTTAATTTTAGTCAAAACAAGAGATATAAAGCTCTGAAGCATCATTAACTTTTAGGAAAAATACATCTTGTGATGCATGGTATCTTTAGCAAAAAGCAGAATTAACAGCTGATTTTTTTTTGTAGTCACTGCTTATTCAACAAAATCATCCCAAGCTTATCCCATAGTGATTTAAAAAGCTTCATCAAAAGCACTGGTTTATATGAGCTTATTTTTTACTCAGATTGTCCAGATAGACAGTATAGAGAATAAAATAAGAGAGGAAGGAGAGAAAAGTATTCTCTTTTTTTTTTTTGAACAGTTATTGGAATATCTGTACAGAGTGCACTAATCCAACAAATCCAACACACATTTCCATGGGCCTGGGGAGAGGCTCAGACAACGTATGATGACAGTCCTTACAGAGTAGCAGCAGTTGATAACCTCACACCTCGTTTCATTTGGTAGCTTACAGAATTGAAAAATCAACGTCAAGAAGGCACAGAAGACCCCACTTCATGTGGGCCAAAGATACATGAATACACACACACATGCGCCTATTTCCACACTCAGAAAGCTTTCCCCTGTAGATAAGCAACTTCCACTGGTCCATGGAAAAAATTTTCTTGCAGTGCCTTTTATGACTCTGCATTTTGAACCTCATTTTCAGCTAAGAAGCAAACTGGGAAACAGAAATATATTCCAATGCTAAACCTAACAGATAAGTGAAGTGACTAGAACTTTGTTAATTCAAAAGCAAAATATATTCAGAAGGTGGGTGTGAATAATAAGTTTAGATGCTTACATTTTTTTGGCCAACCAAGATGTTTTACTATGCCTCACACGCTAAGAGGGAAAAAAAATAGTGTTTAAGGACTGCCACTGCTTCAATGTTGACATCTAAGACAGTGTCACTGTTGATCACAGCTTGCAGAGTGCTCTCCTACTGTGCAAACAGTGACTATCACCAACTTTTCCACTAATTCTGCAGTCTTTAACAGATCGCTCCTGGCATCATAGTGAATAATTACTAGAAACCTCCCAACACAACGAGCCACATCGTGTAGCCAAATTCGGGATCATCCTAAGCCTCATGCAATGGCATCTTTTGTCACATTACCATATGGCACCTGCTTGTTCTACTGGATGCACACAAGGATTGTGCACTCCAGGACAGTCCTCCTAAAAATTAGAACAGTGTAAGCTATTCTAAACCTTGATGCCAGGCAGGCAGTCCATCTTGTAACTCTGGTCAGGGATTAGAGAAATAAACATACCTAACATTCAGTTTAGTGGGTCTAGAAAGCAGGGGAGTCACACAAGAGCACACTGATATTGGAATTTGGATAAATATTGTTTATCAACAAAGAACAAAATCCAGTCTGGTGCAACCCAAAAAAAGAAAATAGATTTCTCACCTTGCTCCAGCAATAAGCTCTTTTTGTCCTGGGTCAAATGTTAACTGTGAGAAGTCCACAGCATCTTCTGCTTTGAACACGTGTAGCCAAGGGGCAATTTCTAAAAACAAATCAAGAAATACAACTTTTACTATAAATGTTATAGGTGTAGTACATCAGGTAGTCACCATTAAATCTGCAGATATTTCGAGTGGGTCTGCAAGTTTTCTCCTTATGGTCCTCTAAGGAAACACAGGAGACTTTCACCACCATGCCATTCAATTTATAATACAGGCCTGTAAAATATATAGGGCCTGATACACATTTCAATCAACTATCCGTATTTTGTTCTGAATTGTTTTTCCTCCTTGCGTAAAACAGAAAACACCACAGTACAACTGCAATTCACTGGGACATACTCAAGTAAAGTTAGATTAAATTTCCATGCATTAAAAACAGCTGAGGACTAGAGGGTTGTTTTTTTTAGTTAGCTATTTAGTTATTTCTTTTCTTTACAAAAGGATCTGATTAAGTGAAAAGCAATGAGGAAAACAAGCAGGTTTGACTTTTCATCATTTTTCACAATAAAAAGATTGAGAAATGACGGATGAAAAAGGAAAAATGTTTGACATTCTTTGAACTTTTTTTTTTCACTTTCCTTTCTCAGACCAATTTAGTGCTACATTAAGCAGGGCAGACAAGCATGTGAATTACTGAAAATCAGCAAGGGGCATGACTTGTATTCAGAATACAAACATGTTCCTACTTTCAAACTTAAGCACACATAAATAGTTGCAAATCAAATCTTTAAATATTTTCATTACTAGTAGATCCTTTTTTCATTCATATCACTAACTGGACACTAAAGTTTGGCTAAATGAACTCAATATTGTGGCTACAGAGCATAATTATCTTTAATTTTTACTTTTTTAGAATAGACATATAGAATATAGAAAATTTCTGTAAAAATAGAAATGGTAGAAATTGCTCACTAAAAAAGCCCAGTTGTACAAAACCCTCATTCTCTAGAATTCTGAAATTGTCAGAACATTGACTGAAGCTTTTTTGTTTGTTTTTTTTTTTTTTGATGTAGTCACAAAGCAGTGGGCTGGAACTTACATGAAAGGTGAAGAGGGCTGAGTATGTACGACTCAATGGGCTGCAGGCCTAATTGAAGATTACAGGTGTGAAACAGCCACTTGAAAGACCAAAATCAAGGTCATGGTCATGACCATTTAGAACATGGAGTCAAAACCAACCCAACACCCTAAGGGTGCTACAGAAGTGCAATTTTTGACAATGGTATCATTAGCTGCAGCTCAGGTAAAAACACTCATTCTAAGCTTTCTTCTTCACTCACAAGCATATTTTTGCTTTTGCAAATGTCTCAGTTGAAACAATCCATGTCTGGTGTCTGTTTCAGGATGATTTGTTCCTAACTTAAAGTTTTAGCACAAGTGAGCTATCCATTCCTAAGGAATGGGCCCAGGAGAAAAATGTTATTCTGCGTCAAAACGTGTTCAGCCATTGCAGACAACCATTAAATGCAGTGTGCAGAAGCTGCATCATCATATACTTTGGAAAAACAGATGGAACTGTGAAATAGAGTCACTTGGGTGTCAGAAAAGTAACTTCTGCATTTTTAATGTCAGCCCGTATGCATCTGGGCAATTTCAGGCTCGCAATGCCAGTTTGTACATGTTCTGCAGTACTTGTAGCTAAATTCACTGTTGATTTCCATCTGCATTGGATGGATGCTCAAACCAGGATTCAAACACTGGGGTGGAAAGGGGATATGGCCACATATTAGATAACTGTGATTACAGCTGCCATCAGCCATTACTGCAGATACTTTGCAGAGAACCCAGCAGGATTCTGAGGGAAGAAAAACACTCAAATATATTACAGGCCTGTATATACAGCCTTATACATACTTACTTATCTATTTTTATTTAAAAATTTATATATATATATATATATATATATATATATATGGCTACACAGGCAAGCATAAAACAGGTGTTTCCTAAACTTTTTGCACTTGATTTTGCAGCTCTAACTTTTCAGTCATGCATTTCATATGAAACAACCAATTGCAAAGTTGTAAAACATTAAGAAATTAGGTAGGACATGAAGATGAGGAAATCTAGGGGTAAATCACAAAGAATTTCAGTTACTGACAAAAGAAGGGGGAAAAAAATAGACAACAAAACAAAAAACCCAGCCAGACCCACTGTGGAAACATCAGTCTCTGAAAGAGTGACAAGGTAAGCAGCTGAGAATGGAATTACCCCGGCTCTACATTGGTAGGACAAGTGAGACCCTTGGTATTCTGAAAGAAGAGGAGAGGAGTGGCTCCCCACAGCATGAGAGACCAGGGAAAGCTCAGTACACACAAGTACTGCAGTGCCAGAAGACTGAAATTCAAAGACTCAATTCTCTTCCACTTGTCCTGCTGTCTCAGCACGACACAATAAATCTTCAAGGTACAGCAAGCAGGTGATTGAGACCACTTCCAGGTTTGGAGCAAGGGGCCAGGCAGGGCAAGGCAAGCCCAGGCTAGAGAAAAAGAATGAGGACTTGCTAAGAAATCTCTCTGAAATCTGAATCCCCTTCAAAATATAAATTATTTTATCCTGTCTTTGTTGCATTCAGCAGTGCTCTTGCTTGAGGGAATAAGGTCAGGAAGAGCAAATGGCTGCTAGAGCTCTTCTTTTTCAGAAAACACTCTGAAACTGTATCTCATGTGTCTCACAGTGGCAGCATGTGTCACACAGAAATAAGTATTTATGAGATAAAGCTACAACTTCATGACACTTTTGTAAGGGAAAATGAACAAAAACAGTGCCAACAAAAATTTTAAAAAAGGCAATCCAACCCCATGTACACTGCAAAAATAAAAGCTTATGCAACCAATTAAGAGAATAATTATGTTTCTTTTCACCAAAACAGTGAAATCTAGCTGAAAATCCATAGGTGAAACAAGACTTTTTAGTTTTGCTTTGAATTATCTCCTTAGCGTCAAAAAATCATAATTAGCTACTAAAGGCCTATAAATTATTTTTCTTCCAATTAAAATCATAATGGTAAAGTAGTAAGAAGTAATAATTTAAATTTATTAATGGTTTTCATGCAGATGCAACATGACAAGCTTTACACAACAACACAGCAGTACATTTTGTGTACTACAACAGTAGCATGAATAAATGTGTAAGGCAATTAAGCTGCCCTGCCAACACATGACCTAATAGCATTGCTTGCTGATCACAGGTGACAAACAGCAACATCCCCACGCTTTCCCATCCTCACCCTCCCCTTCCTGACATTCCCCTCCCTCTCCTCTGCCCTACCTTCATGTGAATTACAGTAAAACACCAAGCCCTTTATTGACTTCTCTCTTACTCCTGATACTGAGAAGACTTATTTAAACACACCTTCAGCCTGGATTTCTTTTTCCTTTAAAACTAAGAAGGCATGCTTGCCAATCTGCAGACATCAGTCCGGGACTCAAAGCTGTCCAGGGAAAACTACTATGGTACACATACAGCCATGACAGCAGGTGATTGCCAACATCCTTTTGGTACATTCAAGACAGACTTACCCTTAGCAAAAACAACCAAAAAAATTTTTCATTGCTGTTATAGGACTGAAATCTGCAGGCCTTATAACTCAAAAATATTCCCAAGAAAAATACTTTCTCATGGAACAAAAAGATGGATGTTGAAAAAAAAAAATCTTTCTGAGAACGTTACAGCTCTCTTTCACACGCTGGGAATCGGATGTTACGAGTTTTCCTGGGGGATTTGGGGTTTGGGAGGAAGGGTTAATAGCTTCAATTTAATATAAAACAAAGTTTGTCGTGGTCCATAAATCGACAGCAAAGTAAACACACCGGATTCCACCCAGCTCAGAGGAAAGGTCAAGGAATTCTCTTAAAGAGGTTTAAAGACAAAGGAGGTTAACAATCAAAGGTGGGCAGAAGGACATTAGATACTCATATTATAAAAAATGAAAGACCAGAAATCTGTCTCTGTTTTACTTTAAATTTAGTATCTGCCCAACAGGCCATGACTTGTTTGGTTCAGATTGTTCCAAGGACCTCCCAAGGGCTGAGCTCTACAGTTCTTTGCAAATGAAATTGTAAAGTTCCCTCTAACCTAAGTTTCATTCTTCAGTACTTCAAAGTAGAGCTACAGTAAACAGTAAAATAAATTGAGAAATTACTTACAAGGAATGGAGTGGTATGTTTAGAACCAAATTCAGAAGTGATCTATAATAATAATAATAATACAACTTTGCAAATAACAAAGTCCAAAGACAATAAGGACCTCCTGATTTCATTTAAAAATTAACATAGATATTAAAAAGTTTCAGCAGTGTTTGTAGTGTATGTATGTGACACCTCGTGTCAGGGTGTCCTTTTTGAAAATAGTGAGCACAACTTCAACATATGCACAGCAGCACCTTCTTGAAGAAACTCTGTTAGCAAAATAACAATAGCAATAATACCACAACAATAATACCACAACAATAATACCACCACAATAACAACACAAAATAACACCGTAGTTGAAAACTAGCAGATTTGCAATATTAACAGAAGTCTCTGGGTGGCATCAGTACAACAAACTCACTAATCTTATCAGAAGAAAATTAAAAGTATTTCTGCATGCTAAAGCTAGTTTAGAATTAAATGTATCTAATCTAATGATGATACAATAACTCCATCTTCCTGAAGCTGCGTAATAATTTTAGCCTTAGATCTCCTCCTGTGATACTCAAGTTACACCACTATCCTCTTCAAAGGCAGCGAGACATGTCAGAAGTCTCCCCAGGGATGTGCCACGCTGACTCCATTGCATCACCCCCGCTGCCCTGGTGACAGTCCCATTAACCCCAGGGGAATCTATTAAGCAAGGTGTCAGGGCTGGCAAGAGGAAATCCACCTGTTCATTCATTCAGCATGTCCTGCCTAGGGCTTTCTTTACAACATTGGTGCTAGAAGGACACAGCTACGAGAACTTGTAAACGCTCTGCTGTGGCGCTTCAGGACTGCACAGTCTCTACGGTAAAACTAGAACTGAGAAAAACAAGATTTTCTTCAGCAATTTCTGTGCACCA